TTTATAGTGAGCCATATGTTTGTCTGAAATCTCTGTCTTCTTGCTCTCCAATGCCATCGCTGTCGACGTCTTTGACTTTTTGATGAGAAGTTTCATTGCATTTATACTAATTATTTGCATTCTTATCGCGAATTATAAACAATGGTATCAGTATTTTTTTGTATAGTTTTAAGTTTTGCATAATGTTATCAATGGCTGTGAAATATAGATACAATATTTGCAGATTTGCTAAAATACTTGCGTTTTTAACTAGATATAAATATACTATTTTACTATTAATTATCATTTAAGTTATGAAATTGCTGTTATTGAATTATCAGTATAATTATGGGAGTTTATTAAAGTTGTAAAACTTATACAAAGCACACTTTGCAACACTCGGCCCAACTGTGCGTTGGGCGTGATTGAGGTAAAGGTATCTAAAGCTCTGCTCAATTGCCTATTTGTGTGATGTATGCAAATATTATGTAAAGATTATTTACGAATTTTCTGCTACTGTTAAGAAAATTTGTCTTAACGTTACCTTGTAAATTTAAATGGTCGTTTGTTAATAAATGTTTGACAACATAGTTATATCTACTGTATTATGAAATAACAGTAGACATTATTATTTTATAAAAATTATTATTTTACAAACATTGCATTAATTCTTTTAATAAAAATTATTCTAAAAATTATTTTAAAAAATTTAATTAGTAAAATGAACCAGTTAATTAAATAAATGGAAATAGAATAATGTTTGCAAATTCTTTTCATATTAAAATAAGTTAATTTATATGCATATTCTGTTCACACAAACATGTGATGAAATCTCATAATTGTATTTCTGACAGAAAGGATATATTTGTTCAGCAATTCATTAGAAGTTTACAGATTTTCTGTAATAAATAGTTTATAAAATCTGGTATTCATTTGAAAAATTTACATTCAGTTGACAGGACTAACAATGAACTCCTTTTTATCACTAGTTTTGTGTCTTTTGGTTGTAATTTGTATGAATGAAGGCATTAGTGAAGCGGGTATGTGATTAACAGATTAACAAATGTATCCATAATTGAGATTACAATTAATAACTTTGATTTTGACTACAGGTGTTGTCTTAGAGGACGGCTGTAGTACACCGAGATCTGGTCTCAACAGTAATTTTGGCCAATTGTTTGCCGCAATTTCCAGACGGAAAAGACAGTCACACGATGAGGAGTCAACCACTGAATCAGATAAAGGGGACCATAAGGGCGGACACACTAACAATATTAAAGTACACGTCGACGTGAAAAATCATTGATTCAATTCTGTTTACTATAAATAAATAATAAAAAATTCGCAAAACTTTAAATGTTGTTTTCATAAATTGTCTTATATTTATTTAACTAGCACTATAATCTATTAAATGATTTGTAAATTTGAAACTAGTTTGAAATAATTAAAAGTAATTTTTCCAAATAAAGAATTGCAAATACAAGTTATCAGAATTGTATGCATGTATTATAGAATATTGACCTAACTTATCTAATTAATAAAGTAAATATCTAGTTTTGCTACTATAAACTTTATATTAGAAATTATTTTATAATGATCATTAATCAATATAACCATATTTGTAATATTCTTTCTAATATTAAGATATTAAGTAATAATTATAGGATTTATATCTAAAACAAACAAATATTAGTGCTGTAATAAATACATGTAATCTGTGATGTAAGTTAAAACATAATATATTTATTCAGGCATTCGGATTGAATCAATAAATCTATTTAATTTACAAATACTAAGAAATCTGGGATTTTATAATAAAAACAATTAATTGCTTTTATGAATTTTATGACTATTTATACTTTAAAAGTAAATAAAAACTTTAAAACAAATCCTTACAGATATGTATAATTCCCAGATATAGTGCCCAAAACCACATACAAATAATAACCAAAATAGTTCATTAGTTACCTTAAGTCAATGTCGTTTAATTATAACTATTATTATTAATTCAATTAATCGGAAAATTAATAAATCATTAAACTTCACAAAACTTGAAGTTAGAGCTAAAAGTGTGGGACGTTTTATATGAACGTCAGTACAGTATAAGGCTATAGACAGACAACAAAAACATGTAAACAAAGCCACAAAACATATGACACTTTGAGAGAAAAACAACGCAAACAATAATCAGTGAAAAACATTGAAATCATAACTAAATCGTGAAAATTAAATGACGAGATGAAGGAGAAGCTGATCCCAAACAGCGGCGACAACACTGACCACGTGTTGAGCCGAAGAGCAGGCGATGGCCTGTTGTTGATATGGTTGAGAGCAATACAACTGATGATAACAACGCTAAACATGTTTATGA